TTAATGTACACTTCAACGCAGTCGTCGAAGAATTCGCCAGGCTGAAAACCCAACAATTGAACCAATGGCTACACGCCATGCCAGAAAAACCCAGATTGCCATGCGCAAGCGGTCATAATACCCACGGAGCATGATCCCAACAGCGTAAGAAGTCCCATCTGTCGCTTGGTCTGTTGGGCCATAATACCTTCCCACTCCGAGGCCACCAATTCCCACTTCATTGTGATCATGTTCGACATTCGTCGGTGTGACTGGGAGTGCGGCCGTTTCCCCATCAGAGGCCGTGTTACTAGGGCGAGCACCCGATCTCACATTAAGTGCATTACGCTTCCGCAGATTATAAGTTACAATGCTCACAATCAGCCGCAGATCAGGCACGGTAAATGTTGGATATTTCCACAACTTCACAGTCTGGTGGGGAGGAAGCATATCCAAGAAATCGGCCAGGATGCCGAGGGTGAGGCCCCAGAGCAGCAGCGGACGGGCAGTATCGCTCGAATCCGCTTGTCCACTCAGACACCAGCCCTTGAAGCGTTGGATCAGGGAAGATTTGGATGTATTCTCTTCAGGTATGAAGTCTGGGGTTGTGGTACATTGATGAGTTTCCGACGGGAGCAGCCTTACGGCCGAGAACTGCATCCAGCCCATCAGAGACCGAATTGCAAGACGGGTCAAAAACCCGCCTTGTCGACCGAAGCGCTGCGACATATCCACATATTCCACCGTCCGCAGCGATGGTGATAGAAGGGCGCGCAGAGGAATCCAATGGGTTGATGCTACTTCCGTGGGCTGCAATCGAAGGGTCGGAGGGTCGCTGCGAGTCGTGAGGAAGACGAAGGGACAAAGAACCATCAGCCTGCCATTCAAGTCAGTAATCCAGTTCTCAGCGGCGAAAGTGAATGGCATTCGTACGGTTCGGATCCCCAACTGGTAGCGACCACCCGCTCAGGGAGATTGCCCACACTAATGGTATCATCCGTAGTCAAATCAAATCCGATCTCCTCTGAAGCTTCTCTGATAGCTGCAGCTTTATCATCTGCATCTCCCGGATCTCGCTTTCCCCCCGGTAGGGCAACATGGCCCGTCCATCGGTCCCCCACGCGCGAAGCACGCTTGATGAACAGAACTTCCGGTTCGCCATGCTGGACCCATGGCTGGGAAAAGTACTCATCTAATCGTTGTTGGGCTGGCTGAGAAACATCCTTTGTGGCGTTCGAGCTGGGCCAATGGTCGTAGATTGGCCGTACCCGAATAATCAAAGCAACCGAGGCGCGTTTCTTGCATGTTGGGGGATTTGGGACGTGAGGATAAGGTCGTCGATGTAGCTCGGCTAATACGCCATGTAGGTGATGGGACAGGCCCGGGATTTGTGTAGACTTGTCCATCAAGTTGAATATCTATGTACAATCTGTACTATCAGATGTCAAAAGTGATCCTTGTGGAGGATATCGGTATCGGAGTCTCCCGGGCGATATTGGTCTAGCCCTCCAGGGCTCTTCGTATGGTAAAATAGCAAATACCGTCGGAACATAAATTATCCGGATAGCTGGTCTATTAGACTCTAATTGGTTAACATCAGCCAGCACGTGCGTCTATCGCTGGCTGTCGAACGCTTTCAATCATAAAGCTACATCTTTAGTCTCAAAGCTAATGAGCTATTTTCCTTTGGCGCATATTTTTCAGATCTAACCATCTCTTGCTTTGTCTAATATACTTGTCTCAATCCTCCGATATCTGCTTCCTTTTCGGATACCCTTAATCGGACGTGCACACCCAGTCGTGTCTGAGTAACAACTGCACAACGTCATTGACAACCGGACTGGTTCAAAATGCGGTTTGGGAAAACCCTCCGCAATGCGGTGTACCCTCCCTGGAAAGGGAAGTACATTGACTACACCAAGCTCAAGACCTTGCTGAGAGAGAATGATGTCACTCGGGATGGAGAAGATGCCAGTGACTCCGATGACGATCAATGGACTGAACAAGATGAGGAAGCCTTTGTGCAGGAACTGCTCAATGTAGAACTGGACAAGGTAAATTCTTTCCAAGCAGAGACATCGCAGCAACTCCGAGAACGGACAACGGCATGTGAAGTTAAACTACGACCCTTGGCATCGGCTCCCGAGCAAGAAACCCCCGCCCTCGATGAACAGACGAAAAGAACTATCGCCTCAGAAGTTCTGCAAGAACTTGATAACATCACCAAGGAAGTCAGTGCTTTGGAAAAGTACAGCCGAATCAACTTCACTGGCTTCCTCAAGGCTGCAAAGAAGCATGATCGCAAACGAGGAGCCCGATACCGGGTGAAACCTTTACTCCAAGTGCGACTGTCGCAACTGCCATTCAACTCGGAAGACTATTCCCCGTTGGTCCACCGACTCTCAGTGATGTACTCCTTTGTTCGAGAGACCCTTAGCCATGACATCGTGCAACCAAGGGAGACAGAGCATGGATTTGGCCGTGAGACCTATTCATCTTATAAATTCTGGGTTCACTCGGACAACGTTTTGGAGGTCAAGACTCACATCCTTCGTCGATTGCCGGTTCTTATCTACAGGCCGGGAACTTCCAAGGACCTCGATACCCTCACTGAAGACCCCACCATTACTTCTCTCTATTTTGATAACCCTCAGTTTGATCTTTACAATCAAAAGGTCGCACGAGCACCCGAAGCCGGATCTTTGCGACTGCGCTGGACGGGGTCACTAAAAGACAAACCTCCTATCCATTTGGAAAAGAAGATTGTCACCGACGACGACGAAAGTCGACAAGTCAAGGTACAGCTCAAGGACAAGCACATTAAGGAATTTTTGGACGGCGAGTATCGCTTCGATAAAAAACTCCATCGCATGGAGGATTCGAACAATGGAGAGTCGGCGGCTGCCGAAGCCTTAAAAAAGGATGTGGATGAGCTGCAGTCCTTTATCAAAGACAATGACCTGCAACCCATGCTCCGAGCCAATTACACACGCACCGCCTTCCAAATTCCTGGCAATGATCGAATTCGGATTTCCCTCGATACCAACCTAGCGCTCATCCGGGAAGATTCCCTCGACAGTGAACGTCCATGTCGCGATCCCGCAGAGTGGCACCGTACCGACTTGGATGATGCCGATATGACTTATCCCTTCAACGCTGTCAGGACTGGGGAGATCACCCGTTTCCCTCATGCTTTACTCGAGATCCAGCTTCGAGGCAAGGCCCATAACACAGAGTGGGTCAAGGATCTGATGGTCTCCCACCTTGTTAAGGATGCTCCCCGGTTCTCCAAATTCGTTCACGGCGTGGCCTCACTATTTGAAGATTATGTCAACAGCTTCCCCTTCTGGCTTGGTGAACTTGAAAGTGATATTCGCCGTGATCCCGAAACTGCATTCCATGAGGAGCAAGAGCGACTGGCTCGACGGGCGGAGGAAAACATAGCAGTGGGCAGCTTCATGGGAGACGCGCGCAGCCCAGGTGTTCGCCCACAGGTCGGGTCACCTTATCACCAATACTCTACTACTGGCTCTCCCTCGGCCATACGGAGAACCTCGGCAGTCACCGAGTCTGCAGCGCGGCACCCACGTCCCTCGATCCCAGAACCCCAGCGTCGTGATACCGAACCCGCCCCCGAACCCGCAGAAGAACCCGAGTCACCCACTCGCCTTGAGTCCATCTTTCAATTTGTGGGGCTATCTCCTCCACGCTGGCTTGGAACGGAATCTGTCTCTTTACCGCCTGGCGTTCGACACCCCGGCGTCTGGATCAAAGATGCCGGGCCCGTTCGGGTGGAAAGTAAAGTTTACCTTGCCAACCAGCGAACATTCATCAAATGGCTTCACATCAGTATCCTCCTGTCGAGTTTATCATTGGGCCTCTACAATGCTGCTGGCAAGCATAACCAGGTAGCCCAAGCACTGGCTGTCGTCTACACATTCTTTGCTATCTTCGCCGCAGTCTGGGGGTGGTTTATATACGAGAGACGGGCCCGCCTCATTCGCCAGCGGAGTGGAAAAGACCTAGACAACATGTTCGGCCCTATTGTTGTCTGTATTGGTTTGGCCATCGCCTTGGTCCTGAACTTTGTTTTCAAGGTTAGACTGCCAAGTCGTTTTGTTTCAACCCTAACCTTCTCGCTAACTCGTTAACAGTATTCCTCGGCACTAAATCAAGGCCGCAACCACCCACTTCCCAGTGTACCTGCTCACTCTAACTCGTCGGCTGTTTTTGACAGCTCAGGAGGTTCGTGGGGCAACTTGAATCAGGTTCAGCAAGTGCTGTAATAGTCTTTCTGGAACTTTTTCTCATTTGAAGATGTGGCCAACAAACCGATCAAGTTCCGAGGAACTTTGTGTTTAAAATCTACATGAAGCTTGAATGTAATTGTTGAATAATTACTTTGTGATTATAATTATCCAAGCAAATAACGTATTTCACTACCGAGTGACATCGTGCATTAAACCAGCTTATGAAAGGCTTCCGCCTTATAATGCATAGTGCTCTTTTACTCGCGAAAGAAAATAAGGAACTACGCGCTAAAAACGAGAAGCAGAAGTAAAAGCGCACTTGATCCTAAAGGTAGATACCCGCTGAAGAAGGCCTCTCAATTTAAGAAGCTTCTTAATTACTGAGCCGGTGGAAGGGAAGCACCTCCCCCCCAAAGGCGAAGAAGCGCTTCGGGTTTACAACCACGTATACGGGCTACACTAAGGTGTAGTGGATGTAATAAAATAGGGCATAGAATCAATAGGTGTCCAGATCGATGATTCATTTTGTATTTAATTTAATGGAGTTTTGATTGAGATATTTAAATTTGAATTGGTCGTGTGCGTCACTCGGTGGAATACGTTACAGACCAGAAGATTCGAGATCTCATATAGAACTCCGAATCCTGTCCACGGCATAATGGAACGCTTACAAATCGACTTCCGCCATCAAAACAACTCCCCCCAAAAAAGTACAGAGCAATATTCCAAATTCAAACCTATCACGTATATCCCTCCGATATCCTTGACACAATGACGAACTTCCAGATCCAGATAATCTCAGACACCGTCTGCCCCGTAAGTATTTCCAACCATATACACAGATCTATATCCCAAACTCCTCCCAACTTCACAAACTAACCATTCCAAAAAAAAAAAGTGGTGCTATGTCGGCTACCGCCGCCTCTCACGAGCAATAACCACCCACCAAGCCAAGTACCCAACAGACACATTCAGTCTGCACTGGAAGGCATTCTACCTCAACCCAGGAGCAGCCGAATATCCCGGTGTGAACAAAGCCGAGATGTACAGCCAGAAATTCGGGGCTGAGCGCGTGGACGCAATATTCGCGCGCCTAGCTAGTGTGGGCAAGGGCGAGGGAATTCAGTTTAGTTTTGGCGGGAATACTGGTTCCACGCGGGACTCGCATCGCTTGCTCTGGTTTGCTGGGCAGCGGGAGGCTGAAGAGACAGCTAAGAAGGAGGTCGGTGTTGTTGGTGGGTTGCAGACGAGGGTTGCAGAGCAGCTGTTTCGGGCTTATTTTGAAGAGGAGAAGAATATTACCGATTTGAAGGTTCTTGTAGAGGCGGGTGTTGGGGCGGGATTAGATCGGGAGGTTGTGAAGAAGGTGTTGGATGAAGATGTTGGTGCTCAGGAGGTTGATTTGGAGGCCAAGACAGCAGCCCGGAGGTTGGTTTCTGGTGTGCCGTATATCTCGGTGCAGGGGAGATATCATGTTGAAGGGGCTGACGAACCCGAGGTCTTTATGGAGATCTTTGAGAAAGTGAAGGTCGAGCAGAAGGAATAAAGATGTCAATTTTCTTAAGTCTAGCACTAACTTAGCTTCTACAACCACTCAATTAATCTCTCATTGCACAATGCACTTCTACGTAGTCCCTTCTGACAAAATGATCATACATTTCGAACGTGGAATGTTCTATTCTTATTATGTTGAATGATTTCAATGAATGATCATCTGTATAGTTCTATCGACACGCCGTAGCAAAGTAAAGCTATTCGGCCTATCAAGCAAAAGCGTAGCTGATTCTATCTTGGTGCATTTGTGTCATATCTGCACAAAAATGGAATGTCGAGGTAGAGACGCTCTTGGTGACCTGTCACTTCCAGCCCATAAAACTGGCGAGCATCCCAGGTCATAAAAGTACACAGATTAACGCCGGTCATGCAACGAGTGTCTGGGTCACCTGTAAAATAGAAACCAAAAAAAAAAAAAAAGTGAAGAGGAAAAAGCACTGATAATACACAATCAAGATGAGAATAGGAAATAAAAATCAAGGATACCGCCCAGTGAAGAGCAGAAAAGTGAAGGAAAAATGCAAATGTAGTGGCGACTGTGAAATGACCAGGACCTCAAGGCTCGGCCAAGTAATCCCACAAAGAAGTCATGATAGATCGTAGCAAGTTATGGAATTTTGAAACTCCATGTTCAAATTCAACGGGCATTTAGTGGGTTGTCTGTGCTTTGACTTGATGCAGTTCGTAATTGGGGAGGTAATCGAACCAGTCAGTCTCGGGATTATAGCGGTATGCCTTGAACTCTACCCCATATGGCTTGGGCTCAAGCATGTACAGGACACCCATCGGGACATCGAGGTCAGCAACCTCGTCACGTTTCAGACCACGGAAGTAGGCCAGGAGCACACGAGCAACGGATCTATGTCCAACCAGGAGCACATGGTCTGTGGTGCGCTCTATCTCAACAATGACTGCGCGCGATCGATTGATGATGTCGAGGTAGCTTTCTCCGCCTGGTCCGGGGTATCGGTAGAAGAGCTTATCTCTCTTGCGGTGGGCATACTCGTCGGGGTACTGGTCTTGAATTTCCTTGTATGTCATGCCTTCCATCCTGCCGGAATGGATTTCGTCCAGCATCCTCATCTGTTTAACATCGTAATCCTCTTCGTTGAAGTATTCGGCTGTTTGAACGGAGCGCTGCATCATTGAGGACCAGACACAGAAGTTGCGCGGCCCTTCCCGAGGAATATATGATGGGTTGGGAGGTGTGCTGTCACCAGGTCGAGGCGGGAAGTGAGCGAGAAGGTCTTTCTGTCGCTGATATGCCTCCCACTGCTGCCGTTGGTGATCCACAAAGCGAGCCAACGCCTTGGCGTACCTTCTCCCGTTCTCGCTAAGATCAGAGTCACCTCCGATGCGGCCTGCAGCATCGTCCAAACTTTCGCCGTGCCGTGTGATCCAAATTTGGCGTGGAGAGAGATTGAAATTGAGCAAGTAATAGACGACTTGAGAAGCAAGGAAACCATGAGTCTGGTGAGCAACGACTTTACGACCGACGTCGATCATCTGGATGTAAGCCATACGATGCTTCTCCTCATATTCGCCGAGGGGTACGTAAGACTTTTCGTATAGCGCAACACGCTTCTTGAAATCCTCGAGTGCCTCGGTTGGGTCCTGGCCTTTGTAGTCGGGACCAGAAAGTTTCAAACGCATATTAGCCTCAAGCAAATCTTGATCCACGCAGCTACTTTCAAGAAACAGGATGTTTAGCTCGGGGCCAGCGCGATTGCGAATATGGTCAACAATCGCTTTGCGGCGTTCCATAGTGCTGTTGGTCGCATCAAGGATACCAATGCTGCCACCTTCCTCCAAAATATAGTCAAGCAACTCATCAAGAGTATCCAACGCGACCTGCTCTCTCATCTTGACGGCACGCTGATTTTGGGGGTCAAAGAAGTTGGCAGTTTGGTCCATTGGCTCAGGGGAAGCTTCATTGACGGCTTCTTCATTCTCACGAGATTGCGCAGGGCCCGCATCGACCGAGGGCACAACAGTGCTTCCGTTTTGAGAATCCTGTTCGGGCTCTTCTCCATTCACGAGAATCTTGGCAGGCACTACGGGAGGAGGAAGCGGTGCCTCGTTCTCTGGCGGGGAAACGTCTGCTGGGTTCAAAGTGGTGCCAACGCTGGCACTCAACCGGCGCACTGAGTCAACGAGATCCTTGTGGAAAGCACTTGGTTTCCGACCCTGGCGATCAAGTGGGGCAGGCGATGGGGACTTTCCAGCAGCTACACGACGGCGCTGTCCAACATTGAAGATTTCGGTGTCATGTTGAAGCCAGTTCAAGTAGCGGGCCAGCTTCTTGGTGATATAACTTTTTCCTCGGGCTGGGAGGCCGACCATGACAATGACAAGTTTTGCACCAACATCCCGCTGAGCAATGCGGCCATCCGGTGACACCTTAGATTTGGTCAATCCGGGAATATCGAGAGTAGTTGCTCGCACTCGACTGGGAGTACCAGGAGGGTGATAAAGGCCCGATCTACAAGTATCATATTAGTCACAGTTTGCCAAGCGCATCCAAGCGAGTCATAAGACAGCAAACGTAAAAACAACGGGCTAGGGGTTGGCTGGAGTCCGGGGTAAGGTAAGATAAGCTCAAAATAAAGAGCCTCGGAACAGGACTGATCCCTCTGTCTCATGTTGCCGATCAAGCTAGCCTCGTTTTGATAGGCCCATAGTAAAGTCCAAAGGTTCTAGACAGAAAAAAAAGGGAAATAAGACTCACATCTGTGGAGACGGGGGTGCGGTAGAAACCGGAGTGTCTGTCAAAGCCGTTCCGATTCCGCCCTTGAGCGGCAGTGAAGATTTGTGGGAATCGGAATGCAGGTCATTACCTAGCGCTCGGTTGACCACAGTTTTCGGAGGCATAAGAGCTCCTTCTTTTCCCGATCCCGAACCATTAGACGTGCCGTTGGGGTTTATATTATTTCTCTGATCCCCCGTCTCGGTGGCCGACGTCATGGCCGACCGGGCAATGCTAGAATGTTGCGCCATCCCCCGGGGGGATAATTTTTGTTTGTGTGCTTGATTAAAAAAGGCGTTGCTCTTTTTCAGAGCTTTCTCACAGAGTCGAGTTGACAAGGACTTGTGTCATGGGCAACTCGAAGAAAAAAAAAAGATGGTGAGAGGGGGAGAGAAAAAAAGTGTCGGAGGTTTGGATGAGTCAACCAACGGGAACACCGGGCACTTGTGACCTGAGATATTCCAAAGGAAACTTGAGATATTCAAGGGGTTAAAAGAGGTTGGGGTTTTTTGGGGGGGGGAATCTGGGGTTCTTTTTTGCAAGGATATCTATTTGATGGGGGGTTTTTTTTTTCAGCATGTGGGAATACAATATCAAGGTGCCAAGAACATCAAAGGAGTCAAGGAACCATTCAAATCGACCTCAAGTGAGAAATGCCTTGAAATGATGAAATCACGCAGGTTAGACTTAGTCCATAGGGTGGATCGATGGCTTAAAGATCGCCCATATATGATGTCAAAGGATATACAGAGGGGAAAGATAAATGGGATTTAGATGGAGATATCAGGATATTCAGATATTCGGATCAGCTCCAGGATTATAAACAGCTCTTATAGATATATTGATGGGTCTCACAAAAATTTTGCATCTGTCCTATCTTCAATAGAGAATGCTTGGCTAAAAGCACAGTACATACGGAGTACAGGTTAAACATGGAGTATCGAAATATACTCAATCTCACCCCCTGTGCAATCTACTCTCACTTATACGGTCAATCCACCTCAGTTCCAGACATGGCACAACAAAAGTACACATACTCGAACTCAGCCTCCATATTGGAAGCTTGTGTGACCTGAATCTCACCGCTCGGGCTGATCCATACTCGGCATCCTTGGCAAGTTTCGATACAACAGATTGATCTCCGACCAACTGTAGGCGTCGGTTGCTGCACGCTGATCTCCGCTGCCGTAAGCCAAATGGTACTCCGTACATATACCGTGGTCAGGTGCGGAATCCTTGGCGCTTGGCGGTAACGCAGGGGGGTATCACAGATGCCTAGATAGCCTCCAGGGATATTGGATACGGTGTGGATTGCGTGCAACGCAGAATGTTTCTTATCAGTTGCTCAAGTTCAACGTCAAGCCAATCAAGCATGCATATGCTGCAATACTCAGTGCTGTCAAGACCAAGACCGCATTTCCACTGGTACGGAATTTGTGCCGATGGATTCCATCCTCCCCTACTTCGGAGAAGAACTGTCTGTTTCCCTGCGAGCGACGGAAAAGTCCGATGATGAGAACACCCGTGCCATATATCGCGAACAGAGCCCCAATACTGTAGAACTCGGCGGTGAAAATCTTGAGTACGACGAGGGCGAAGGAGAACTGAGAAAGAGCGGTTCGGACATAGGCCCCCTCAAAGGTGCGTTGAGCCGCGCGCACCTCAACCATTTCATCTGAGGTCAGCACTGCCGAGCGGGCTCGGTGCATTCGAAGGCGATAACGATCCCCTGCACGACGCTGAGACAGTCAGACTACATGGTGAGGTACGGGATGAAGAATATGGGGTAGATGAACTTCTACACACCTCAAACATTGCGAAAGCACCACACTTAAGAAATATGTTAAGAGTGTATTAAAAGCGGAATGATATCCGAGCTTTAACATTTCAAGGAAGTTGGGTTCCGGAGAGGTGAGAGTCCTGGCGGCCGGGGCCCAGGGGAGATGCGGATGACTTAGCCCTCACGTGGACTCATCTTTAGATATCAAAGTACCTATAGGTACGGAGTAAACATACATGCATTCTACTTTCTCTTTCTAAAAATGATTTACATCTACGATTCATATTTTCCACCAATAACGTGGACTCAATTCTAATTCCTCGGTCGGCAATCCAAATCGCCCAACGAGGAAAAAGCGGCTATCGGCGTTCCCCACACTCTCTCCAAGTTGCGTCTCCAATTCTTTCCCGCTTACCCTCTCTCCCTCTCTCTCTCTCTCGAATACTCCAGACCGTCCATAGGCACT